ATCCAGCTGATTAGTCCAGGGCTTTCTTGCCGCATTTCCTATTCTGTTTGTCGCCAGCTCCTTTTCCTTGTCTGTTAGTTGTGAACCCCTTGCCTAAAAAGGAGAGCCTCCCCTGTGTTCTATCATCTATTTATTTTATATTTGTCGTCTTGGTTTTTTTTTCCAATTTTGATTTCAGATTTCTCGTCACTGGCATTTTTTCCGAACTAGAGCTGTATTCGGGGATTGATAGTGCTTCAGCTGTGTTCTTCTCCAAAGTGGTGACCATCTCAATCAAACCCGACACTTCTTGCCTTCCCCTCCTCGCTGTCATACCACTTACAGTCGCACCACCTTCCCACCCCCCCCACACCCACAAAAAAAACCCAAGTCCTACACCCGTTGTCGCCACAAGCTCCACCACACCCCATTGCCATGCTGCTAATCCCTGTCCTGCCGTCTCAGCAGGCCGCTCTCTACTGCTGTCTCCATGATAGCCCACTCACCTCTATACCCCCACAGCGCGTGCTCCACCACAATTCCTATGTTCACCCTTCATCCACCACCGAAACTGTAAAATTCTCCTCCATCCTGTTGCTACTACCTGAAACGGGCGTTCTCCTCCAAAATCTGATCGATTTGGCCCGACCGGTTCATTTGAGAGAAGGGGCTAAACCGGCCCCTCCTCCCCTCTTTTTATCAGGCAAGAAATGTCCCGTCTTATTTTCATTTCTCGCCCATCCCACTTCTACTAATATATGTTTTTTGGTCTTAGGGTGTCAGCTTATGTTATTTCTGATTTCAATTTGTGAGGGCAATCACTGACGAGTTAGTTTTCCCTCAAGGGTTGTATCCGATGGAAGGAGTGATGCTCCTGTTATATCCCTATCCCTGGTGGTGATTATATTCTTTGCATCCCTCTTTCCTTGCTATTGCCCCTTCCCAACAACGTACTCAATGCCCCCTCTCCCTGCAATCTTATATAGTTGCTTGTCAAGCTCTGCCATCTTCTATAAACCGGCAAGACAACCATGAGATGGAAGGTTCCAAAGAAGACTAGATGGACGGGAGAGATCCATATAAATCTAGAAGAGTCCACCTCATTATAGAGAATGGTAAAAGAAAAAGCTCCAAGGATAATTTAAGAATAATCTAGAAGGATCTAGGGTCATGTATGTAAATAAGAGAATCGTGTAGAAACTAAGTTATTCTAGAATATTTCCTTGAACTTAAAAGTTAATCTAGAAGAGTCCCTCCCCTCATTTATAGCATCCAAGCATTAATCCAAGAACCATCTAAGGTTCCAATCATTCAAGTGTTGTAATCACCCTTTCTTAGTGAAGAATTTTCTTTCTCCAACACTTCTCCCAAACTCTTCTTCCAAGAGTGTTGTGTGTTTAAAAGTTCAAGCATTGTGAGGGCTAGATTGATTTAGTGTCAAGGAAGAGCGCTAAAGCTCCATGAGTGACTTGAGATAAATTAGTCCGTGACATGCTGCCGCTCTCCTAGATCTTGCTACTCATGACCTTCCTCGCCAGCAACCCGTTCCACCTGCCTGTTGGCCGCTAACCATCCCCCTCCCCCCTTCTAATTCTATTGTGCCGCTAACCACAACCCCAACTCTTTGCTCGAAAGCGCAACACCCTCCTGCAAGCCACCACTGGCAGAACTCCTTCCATATCCCCTCACCACTGTCAAAACTCCTTCCTAGCCCCTCTCTACCGTCATAAATCTTTACTAGATCTACTCCCTTTTGCTGTAACTCCCTTTCCCCTCCATTACTACAAGTATAAACCCTCTCCACTATCTAAGCCATTCTCGTAACCCATCTCCGTTTACACAGTCACTAATTCCAACCCCTCCACATCCCCTGTACTTGTTAGGAGTCCCAAACTTGTCAGACCCAATGCTCTTATCTACGCCTGTTGTTGCTGCAAATACCCGTCTTTCACCGCACTTGCTATTATTTGGCGCCACCACCTCTCATCCTCACCTTAGGGGGTCTTTTGCTTTTATTGGTCTTTTATTTCCTGTTTTGACGAGTCCTGCTGTAATTTTTGAATTTCAACAATAATATTATCATTTTCTATTATGGTTTGGCTTTCCTCCGGCATCATTTGGTATTAGAGCTAGCCCAATCCTAGTCCCATTATAGAGTTCCTTAACATCTGCCATAAACCAAAACTTTCTTTCCGACGACAAAATATCTTTTCCACAATCCAAACCCTAATCTCACCAAAATTTGTCTTTCTTATTCCTAAACTTTAGTTATGCCACTAATGAGACCCGAGCCTTCTCGAGAGGAGATACAACAAGATTTCCACCAACTTCAGCGATGGTTGGCGAACATTAAGGATGAAATTCAATGGGAGTTTACCTTTTATCGTGATTTGAAAGGTCAAGAAAGGGAACAAGATGATTTGAAGATGAAGCTGAAGATTCAGGTGCTTTCCAGCTTACTACAGACAGAAACTTCAGACTCCATCTTCAGAAGTGGAGGGACCACACCACTGAGCGATCCCCACATCTTACAGGAAGGGTTCAACCTCAGGACTAGCCGGAGTGCGGTCAGAGGAACACCCAATACAACCATGTTAGAGGACAAACCGATTCAGAGTAGAGAACAGGTGAGACTAGGCCGCATTCCTAAATCTTTCACAGTCAGGAAGTGTTGTAAGTGTCACGGATTTGGGCATGTAAAACTAGTATGCAACACCAAGGGATAGATCTATTCATTGAGCATGCTATTGTAGAAAAATTGGGCAATGACATAGTTTATACGTGAGAACTTGAAGAATTCCGGGAGGATTCTCCAGTTGCAGCTAGCGAGGAAGAAATCCACCATAACCAATGGATCCTGAAATAGAGATTCCAGCTGAGGTAACAGTAGCCGTTCTGGAAGGTAGTGACATCGATGTAATGAGTGTTCAAGCAGAGTATGAAATTGTTTTACCTTAAGATATCATTTCACAGGCGTTGAGAGGAGAGACAGCAGGACTAACCTTGGCGGCCTAGAAGGATCACAAGCTTGAGGAGCCGACATCAGTCACGGGGCCACCACTGATACAAGAAATACAACTTTTTCATATCGTTAGATTTCATCTTGAGGTATCCCTATCGCGTGAAGGGGGGCGGGGGGGTCCACAAT